TCGTGATATTTCAAAATTGTCTCAAATTTCACTCGCGTAACGGCTCGTGAAATTACGTATAACAGTTTTGAAATATCACTCGTGGTATTTATGCAAAATATCAATACTCATACTACTACATGAGAAATTTCTGCAATCTGATTGGCTTAGAGCAGTGGTATTTCAGCTGAATTCGAAATACCTACATGTGAAAATTACAAACCTTTTGCGGGTAGTAGTATAAACAAATAATAGCATGATTTGTACGTGATATTTGGCATAATTACTACTCGTGATATTTCAAAATTGTCTCAAACTTCACTCGCCGAAATTATGTATAACAATTTCGAAATATCACTCGTGGTGTTTATGTCAAATATCACTATAAATCATGCTATTACCTGTACAAATCATGCTGTTACCTATACAAATTGTGACCAAAAAACAAAGGATTGTGTACGGTCAGTGAGCTTCCAACATAAACTACAGCACCGTTGTTTTCAACTTTGATGTTTGCCGGCTTTCCTAAACAGTCTCCTCTACTAACTATGCAAACGTGTTGAATAATTATGTTTACCTTTTCTCTGTGCGTTCGATTATAAATAGGCGTAATCATGTCAAAATGATTTCAATCAAAAACAAATAATTTAAAGACTGCGGAGTACATCTTTTGTGTAAATATCAACTTGCTGGCCTTATCATAAGCGCTAAAATTACCATGAGATGGCCGCAAGTCGGGAACCCACCTCAGGTTCCCAGACGACATAGTCTGAAAAGTGTTAAAAACTCACCACAATTTCCCCACTGTCCATCACTATACTGCGGAGTCAAAGAGCACCAGGGTTGGTCATGATCAACATCAGTGCAGCCGTAGTAGGTCACGTTGTTGTATACAAAGGGAATACTGCAGTATTGGCCAGTTGTTGTTTTCGGAGTACAGTCTGTTAAAAAAGAAAACAATAGTGACACTATTTAATCAAACTCAATCCGGTTTTCTCACCTTCAACTTTTCCCTAGGAGCGCCACGTAGCCTCATTGACGAGTTTTTACCGATACGGCGGCCATATTGAATTAATTGGATTTAAGGAGTATTATGGGATGCCTAGGGGGCATGAGCACGATCCGATATACTCGCATCATTATTTACGCGCGCTTTTCGAGCCAACTGTTCTTTGAGTTTTCCTAGAAAACGATTGTAATGAAAAAAAAATTATTATAATAAAAAATAAAACCTTGTGCCGTTTTTGGATGTAATGCTGATCGCCTTTTTCCCGAGAAATATACATTGAAGTTCTCTTTTCCCCCAAAAAACGCGTGTAAACACTGATCGAGTGCCGCCTGGACATCCCATAATACTCCTTAAATCTGATAAAATCAAGTACAGTGATGGTAAAGATTTCATAATCCCTCGGGATTTGCTGAAACCAGTTTCCATAAAACTAAGAGTAAGATATGAGAAACTACAAAAAAACAGGTTTACGTGACTAAACCAGCGGAGCCCATTTAGTGCTACCTAATTTTTAACATCAAGTTTCTTTTTCACGACCTCAGTTTTCTCTGGCACAAATATTTTTTTCGGCACGACTTTTTCGTGCCGAAAAAAAATGGTGCCGAAAACAAAAAGTCGTGCCGAAAATAAAGTCGTGCCCAAAAAAAAGTCGTGCCGAAAACAAAACTCGTGGCGAAAAAAAAGTCGTGCCAGAGAAAACTGACGTCGTGAAAAAGAAACTTGATGATCAAAATTAGGTGGCACTAACTGGGCTTCGTGTAGAGACTGGCTTTTCCGGTTAAAGTTGTTTATCAATTTTGCCGCGACGCATCTGAAATTCTTCCCGTACGTGACCTGAATATATGACTGAAGGTCAAAGAACGCTGCGAAAATTCGTCCTGACGTCAGGTCCATGCATATTAGTTTGTCAGGTGAGTAAAGATTTGGCGCCTTTTTTCCACTGCTGTCATTGACTTTCAGTACTGTTCAATAAGTCAAATGATTTTGCGCGACGCATCTGAAATTCTTCCCGTACGTGACCTGAATATATGACTGAAGGTCAAAGAACGCTGCGAAAATTCGTCCTGACGTCAGGTCCATGCATATTAGTTTGTCCGGTGAGTAAAGATTTGGCGCCTTTTTTCCACTGCTGTCATTGACTTTCAGTACTGTTCAATAAGTCAAATGACTAAAATGTGTTTTTCGTTTTTTTAGGATAGCAATCATACGCGTAATTTTCTTCTGTTCATACTGTAGAACTATTAACATTCCACTGATAATACTGCTGGCAAGTCAGGTGAATTATGTGGAAGTACGTATTTCTTTAAAGCGAAAAGTTTATTTAATTTTAGTTGCTGTTTTTTGTTTTTGATCGATTCGATTACTGAGTATAACAAACGTAAATATTTTCTTTCCTTATTGAAGGTAGACCACCGGCATGCCATGTTTTTGAATTCACCATTCAAGTCATGTTATCAATCGCTGTTGACAGGAGGCTTCGATTATTTGGAATGTAATCCCTATTGTCAGCACCCTGACAATCAAGGCTGAATCTATTGGAGGGCCAACGGTGCTGAGATGTTCCATAATCGTATCAGTGTTTAAATCAGTCTTTACACGCGAACTTTGCAATCTTGCTTGAAACGACTAAGCTCAAATTAGATTCTGATAACAGTCTGCTTCAAAATGTCTTCTTTTAGGGTATTTAGCACAGGGAAATCAGAGCTGCTTTCGGACGGTTGGATAAATATAAAGTATTCCGTTTCTTGCCTGAAATTGTAATATTACGCTACTGAAGAGATACAAGACTCACCTCAAGATTCAGGATCGTTTATATCTGTCGTGTCAGATATCATGTTACTCCCGTGGCAATTGGGATATAAAAATACTACCTATTTGTTTATTTCAAAAGCTTGGTGTTTTGTCTTGGTTATTAAGAAGAATATAAAATTAGTAGGTCAATCCTACATGTAAGTCTAAAAAATGTTGCTTTTTTTTCATAGCCGGTAAATCATAGCGAAATTATTTATTTGTCAAGTTAAGTTTACTCTTCCTGATAATTAAAAACGGTGCAGCTGACTGTTGTTTTAGTTTCTAAAGGTATCTCGGAAAAATATCAATTCCTAGTTAATCTGCCAGACAAGACTTGCATAGGTTTTAAGTCTGATATATTTTTTGACTTGACCTTAACCCTCGAAAAAGCTGGAAAAGTTGTTTTAAATGGTGAAAAAAGAAAATTAAAATATTAAAGTTCAGTTTGTCCACAAGTCAAACTAGCTGAGTTATTCAGTCTGAAAGTGGTCAATTTAAACATTTTAATATCGGTAACTCTACTCGATTCCGAGGCGTTATGCTCGCAGCCTCTCTCCCACTCTTAATCTATAAGTCTCCCTCCTTCTCTAGGTGTAACTCGACCAAGACTCCAGTTGCAACAGAAAATAATGTATGAGTTCCCGGGACTGAAAAATCGCTGGGAGCAAACCGTGGAAGCATTCGCTTGCGAACGAAAGCTTAAACTGCAGTCCTTGTCACCTCCGGCACCCCCATTTGTTGTTACTTTGCTAGCAACAAATCTACGTGTTTTAATCACAATTTACCTAAGGAAATAACGAAATAATAACTCAAAAAAGTGTCCTCATCAATAAAAACAATGTCGATTCAACGGCAATTAAAATAGATGAAGTTTCTGCCAGCCTGGTTGGTCCATCATCTCTTTTACAGTTCTCAGCATGCCGCTGTCAACCAATATTATTATCACTTTGTCGTACATTGGGGCGCATTTTGCGGGCTAAAATGTATGTTGCCCGATGAAAAAAACAGGCAGAAGAAAGGTCAAATAGTCTTACGAGATAAGCAGTCAATCACACTAGAGACGCCATTGTAATGTTTCAGCTGTTTTCTTACATCGTTTGGCAAAGAAATCGCGCTGCCATTTTCATGCCTGAAAACACAGAAAACAACACACAATTTGGTAAATTCTTAATTTCCTCAGCTTGAGGAAAAAGATATGAAATGGTAAGACTTTTCTGTTGTAAATAACGCCTGTAGTAGCTCCATAGTCAGTGGAATTGTAGGTAAGTTTGAGGCTTCAAGTCGATTCAAGCCAAAGGAACTCAGTTCAGCCAATTATGCCAAACTGTGAGTTAAACATTTGTACACATGTAAATTGAATTTTAACCCTTACAAATAAGCTTCCGTGTTTATTATAATCTTTAAAACTCATTTGACGTTATATTGTACTTTCTGGCTAGATTCGGGCAGAAATAAAAACCATTGAACAAGTCAAAATGCTCGCGTGATTTGATTTAGACTGTCCTGGTGGTTTTCTTGTCGTTTTTTGAAGTCTTTATTTTCTCAATGCCCTGCAAAGTGATACACCAAATAGAGTCTACGTTCTTGGTCATAAATAAGTTTTGGACCCTAGAGCTAAGTTTAACCCTAGTCTAGCGGCTTCGGTTAAAAAGAGCCTGAGTCGGACCCAAAGCATATTTATGCCCTCTATCATAAACCCTTTGCATCAGTGTCATTAGAATGTTTGACACTGATGCATTTGATCAATAGGAGACTATAATGTATTTGTTTAATATGCAAAAGTTACCCAGTAAATTATAGCCCAGTCAAGTGGAGAAAAAAGCGTCTTTTACTGGCTTCGTCAAAATAAAATAAACCTGTCATAATAGCAATTAATAATAATAAGCTAAAAAATAATTTCGCAAATACGCTTACAGTAGTGACTGCTTAAAAAAATGTATATTGATTGACCAATATAAACAAAGTAAATCATTTTTTAAACCTAATTAAGTTTAACTATGTGAATTAAGATATCAAACGGCTCAGTTGATAAAAAATAAAAAATAAAAAAGGCAAGATAATATTTATGACCATTAGAAACAGTTATTCTGAGAACATGACCTGTAAATGTTGGTTCATTAAATAAGAACTAATAAAGACTTCCTTCTTAGGCAAATATTGGCTTCTAGCTTCCTTACGACTTCCACCTCAATTGTTTTGATCAGTTTTGGCCGGTTGAACAAAAACAAGAAAATATTGATAACAAATCAGTTAATCAAAACGAAAACTTTTACATTAACAATTTCATAAATGTTTTGCGGGTGTGAGGTGCATGGTTGAACTGAACTCAAGCAACATGGCAGCACTTCAGTAACCATTTAACATTTGTCATTGACGTAAGAAAGCTAACAGGTCTTGAATTCACAAAATCGCACTCATTACATGGATGGGTCGATTGAACGAAGGCAGAATAATGAAATATGGCTGATCAAGAATGCCGCTAGAGTACTGTGAGCAGAAACCCTTCACAATGGAAATGCCTTAGGCAGAAATATATGGATACATCTTATATTTCCCTGTCGATTTTCTTTTTAAATAGTTTTGCTATTTAAGTCGTTACGTAACTACAATTATCAGATCCATTCACTCCATTCAATCATTTTTTTTGACGCCGTTACCGCTGTTATTATCCGAGACCCAGTGGGAATAAGAAATCGAAACCAAGTTTTTAGCATCCAGCAAGTCAATCGGTGCTGTTAGTGTGAAGACTATTCCCATGACCCTAAAGGAGTAGACAAAGGGTGCTCATTCTCTCAAATAACCTTTTTAAAAGGTAGCTCAAAACCGATTTTTGTTTTTCCTGCAAGCACGAAAAAGATTCTTAACAGGGGAGAAAAGAGGTAGTTTTGTTTTAACGAAAGGATGAATTAAGTGAAACGGACTCTATTTCGTTGGACGAGAAAGATACCTCCCGGCCTGAGATGGATGTTTCAGGGCATGAATCTGAAGAAAAAAGAGGAATTAAATTTGGTGCAGATACTCAAAAGACCGCACCATTAAAGTAGCCTCTTTTTTTAGGAGTTGTCAAAAAGCGGCGAGTATATTCAGAGTGGGAAGTTTTGCAGTACCTTGGACTGCTAGACATCTGAAAAGGTGACAA